CTGACTCCACCTTTCCTCATCCCATCATTCTCAGTTTGGCTTTCCTACCTAACTTTATCCTGTCCAGCTATTGGACAGTCAGCTTCTTTATTAAACCAATCATAGTGAGATATATTCACACAGTATACAGAAGGATTATCCCACAGCGTTAAACAAAAATTATTTTCATGATTTTTTTTAAAATTTTATTTTATGTGTATAGGTGTTTTGCTTGCAAGTATGTATGTATGTATGTATGTGACCCACTTGTGTGCCTGGTACCCACAGAGACCAGAAGAGGGCATTGGATTCCCTGGAACTGGAGTTACAGATGGTTGTGAGCCATCATGTAGATGCTTCAAATGGAACTTGGGTTCTTTGCAAGAGTAGCCAGTGCTCTTAACACTGAGCCATCTCTCCAACCCCTAAAATGAATATTAACAGTTATGAAATTTTAGTTATAAATTCAAAATAATCATACTTAGAAAAATGATTCATAAGCACAGTTTGATAGTACAGGTACAGTCATTTAACTTCTGTTTTCCCACTCAGGAAGCTAAAGGTTGTTCCATTAATATGGCCATTGGTTTTCATTTCCATCCATTGTTTGGCAGTCTGGTGTTTGCACTGTCAATGGAGTGACCACATAAAGACCAGCATGTGTATTCCAGAGAACGTGGAATGTCAGCAGCTGGCAAAACAAAATGACAGTTTCATGTGGACAGAGCCAGGATTCAAAATAATGAACTGTAACAAGGTGGAAAATTTGACTTGGGAAAAGGAACAAATACTATAGTCAGTATGAGGTGCTTTGCTTTGCTTTGTTTTTGATGAAAAGAAATGCTATCATAGTCACAACTCAACAATCTTTTGAGAAAATCGAATAATTATTTGCATTACAGAAGATATACTACAACAGTCTTATCTTCCGTGGTTGGCTTTCTATGAGAAAAATAGAACCTTAAAAACAATACTGAATTTCACTGCATATTCAAACAAGGAATGTTAAAATAAGTCTTTAATTGCTGACGTTAGTTTGGATGGTATGAAGTTAGACATCAGTGTCTTTCAATATGGCATCTTGTTTTGATTTTGTTTTCCTAAATGTCTGAGCTTTTAAAGCTTGGGCACATTTTCTTTAGTATGTTGGGGAAAACCTTGTAGTGCTTGACGCTTTTGTTCAGTGACCTCCATGGCCTACAGCTGACCAAAGGGCACTGAACTCACCCTGTACCCCATGCCTTGGTAGAGAGACCATTCAAGTAGTCTGTCCCTGTGGAGGACAAACAGATGGAGTGATCCTTAAGTGTGTGTCTGCCTTGTGTCACCTTAGTAACTTTTTAATTTTCTTAATTCTTCCCTAGCTTTTCCAATGGTTACACAGAATCTAAATGTGTTCAAACTCAGGGATAGAAGGCTGCCTTCAGACATGGTGAACCTATAATTTTGATTAATATTTGTTTTATTGGCTGTTTGGTTTGGGAGACAGTCTCTGTATATCTCAGGATGACCTCAAACCTACTACCAAAAAGAACCTTGAACTTCTAATCCTTCACCTCCATATCCGAGTGCTGGGCACCATTGTTCCTGGTGGTCAGGGTTTGGATCAGATGTTTTGTGGTTTTGGCTTCTTATTTAAAGAACTGAGATAAAAGCCCACATAGATCTTAAAAAGTAGCAAGGCAACTTTATTCAAATCAAAGCAGTAGCAGATATTAGAAATGAATATATGGTCAAGATAAGCAAAGGTTTCAACAGCCTCAGTTACATTTTGGGACTTCCTTTTATGGAGTTTAAAACAAGTTTGGTTGTTAAAAAGTTTGGATGGTTCTCTATTTTACTGACAGACTGTTATACAAATGTTTTCTCTACTACGCATGTCCCTTCCTATAAGGCATCTAATTTTAATCATATCCATGTTCAATTATGCATAAGATAATAAACAGAGGGTTCTTCCTAAAAGGACACTTTAGGGTATAGTTTGCCTTATTGTGCATACACTCAACACTAACTCAAAAAAGAAGGACTTCCCACTTTCTGTGACTGAACACAATGAAAATACTGATGAACAAGACCTGTGTACGTTTGATGCTTGTTAACGAAAGGAGAAACTCATTCCATTGTTAAGAAGGAATGGTCATATACCTCCATAGAGATTGGGGTCCTCAGATATTAACAGGTTGCTAGGTACATTGTTCAGAGTGAGAGAGGCTTACATACTACATGCAGATGAAAGTCTCAGAATGACCAAGTACATTGTTAGAAGAGGGGTGTGCGAATATCCCCAACCAGGTAGAGTCCTAGGTTAAAAAGCTATTCCCTGTTTGTCTGACTCATCACCATGCCAGATAAACATGGGCTGCAGTTTGGACTTGGAGTTTTATGCATACTAGATCAGCACTCTACTAATTGAGCCAAACCCTCAGCCCCAAATTAAGTCAACTTCTAGATCTCATCACATTCTGCCTGCTAGGCCAGTTTGCATTTTTGTTTAATCAAAGTAGTTGTTACATTTTTCATCAATATTACCAAGTAAACAACTTAAGGGAAAAAAGTTGTTTTGTTCATGGCTTCAGACATTTCTGTCCATCTTGTCAGGGAGGGTAGAATGGAGCAAAGCCACTCAGATCATGGCTGACTAGAAACAGAGAAAGAATTGCCTACATTATCTGGTTTCTCCATTTTCACCTTTTACTCCATAGCTCTCCTTGCCTCCAGTCTATAGAATGGTGCCACACACATTTAAGATGGGTCTTATAGCTTAATTATGCCTCTCTGGAAATGCCTTCTCAGATTTACCGAGAACTGTGTTTCAATCTATAAGCATATTTGGGTAGATTGTTCAGTGGGTAGTGTTTTGCATGCACACACAAGAACCTGAGTTTAGATCCTTGACATTGACGTGAAAAGCTGGACGTGGCAGTGTGCACCTGTAATCACAGCACTGGGAAACTGAGACAGGAGGATCTTGGGACTTGCTGGGCAGCCAATTTAGCCAATCAGTAAGTTCCAGGTTCAGTGAGAGACCCTATCTCAAAAATACAAGGTGGATAGTGATAGAGAAAGACACCCAGCATCAACCTCTAAACTCTACACACAAACATGCACACATACACACATGCACACAGGCATGCACATACATATCTAACAATCAAATAATAATCTCATATGCACTTCTAAATCCAGAAAAAATCATGAGTTTAACCCATGAAGTGGATAAAGGGCTTCCTACCAAGTCTCACCTCCTAAGTTCCACCCTTGGGATCACATGGCAGAAAAAGAGATGACCTCCACAGTTTGTCCTCTGATCACCACATGAGCCCAGAGGTCCATGTTTGCCTCCCACACACGAAAACATGCTAGATAAAATGTAACAAAAATAATTAAAAATAAATTAGCCACCAAAATCCAGGGCTGAATAAATCTGACACTGTCATTTCTCTGCACACTCCCATACACATCCTGCACATATTCCCTTGGCACATGTGAGTGTGAAGAGGCTCACATTGGTGGGTGACTGACTTGTGTCATCAAGATGCTGTTCCAAACTTATCAGGCTGAGTGCTGGTCCTTAGCTGCCCACCAAACACCAATACCTCCCACCGAGGTACAATAATCTGTCAGTAAAATAGAGAACCATCCAAACTTTTTAACAACCAAACTTGTTTTAAACTCCATAAAAGGAAGTCCCAAAATGTAACCGAGGCTGTTGAAACCTTTGCTCATGTGGCCTGCTGTCAATCTTGACCTCAGCTTTGATTTTTGGTTACCTGGGAGAGCTCTTTCTCTCTAGGATGCTAAGTTGCTCAATTCTCTCTAACCCATTCTTGGACGCAGCCAGTTCTACCAAGAAGGGTAATGGACCTCTACTTGAAAAATGCAACGGTAATATTGAGTAAGAATTTTGCTGTCTACTGCATAGAAATGTGAGTTCATTAACCAAGGGGTGTATGTGTGTGTGTGTGTGTGTGTGTAGTTCTAGGGATGGAACTGGAACCACATGTGAACCAACTGAGTATTCTGCCAGTGAGCTACATTTCCAGCCCAGCCAAGAGTTCTATACACAGTTTGTATTTTTATATTGGTGAATTCGGGTGGGTATGAGCACATGCCCATAAGGATTTATTGACCTGTTTCTCCTCTGGAAAAATGTGGGACACACACTCTCCCTTTTTATCCTATTCCTCCCTCCCCTTCTCCCTCAGACAAGGTCTCTCACTAGCCTGGATAGTAAGCCCCAAAGGTTCACCTGTCCCCTTCTCCCCATCACAGGGTTCCGAGCTGATACTACCAAACCCTGCATTTTTAAAATGGATTCTGGGAATGGAACTCCATTCCTGGGACTTGCAAGGCAAGCACGTAACCAACTATTTCCCAAGATCCTGTATCCAACATATTGTCTCACTTCCAAAAAAAAAAAATCTGCTGGACCTTCTACAGAAAAGTTTAGCAATGAAAACTTACAGTTTTCAAGTACTTTTTTTTTTTAAGCTTATGATCTCGTTGAAAAATGCCTTCCTGCTCCTGCTTCGCTGTTATAAAGGGTGTAATGAGTGGAGTGAAGAGATGGTTTAAGTAGTTAAGAGCACTCTCTGCTCTTCCAGACGACCTGGATTCAATTCCCACTATCCACATGGTGGCTCACAGCCATCTGTAGCTCCAGCTCCAGGGAATCTGATGCCTTATTCTGACTTCTGTGAACAGCAGACACATTCTGCTTGTATGTGGTATACATACAAGCAAAGCACTGATGTGCATAAAATAATCTTTTTAAAGTTTTTAAAAGTATAATGGTAAAGTTTGACCTACCACTATAGCTGTCATGACCCAAATGCACGTGTGTTATGTGCATACTGAATTTTAGGGATTAGATGAAGCAGCGAAGACCTCTGGGCTACAGTTGGCAAATTCAAGTCTCTATTTTCTTTTTTAAACAAAGATAGACAAGCAGACAGAAAGGAAAGCTATCTTCATGCTTTAACGTGACATTTTGTCTTTACTATGGTTTATTCTCTTCACAGGTTACATTTCTACTGCCTCACATGGTGCCTGAAGAAGTACTTTTAAATTTACAGATGCTTAAGGTATGAAAATGACCACTAGGAACTCCATTATTAACCTCATTATTGCTTATGGATCCCAGCTATTCCTAGGAAGTAAAGTCAATCATTTACAGGAAATAGGAGTGTGTGGTTCTAAAGCCTTCTAACCTCCAGGAATTTGCGAGGCAGTCTATTCGCTCAAGGGACTCTCTCAGCATTTCTTTCTGTCGGTTACCATTAGGTGTCACTACCTAGCAGAAATGGCTTTTCCTCACGCAGGAGGAAGGAGCGGTGCCGTCCATGTCCTTAACCTTGTGCTGGGTTCCTGTGTTTTCTGTTAAAAGGATGAAGACAAAAAAGTTATGCAGGAGGAAATACAAACATTAAAAACTAAATTGGAGAATGAAAAGAAGAGAATGGAAAGGTACTGGGGTTAATGATTCCCATGTTGTCTGTCTGCAGCTGAGACACTATTTAACCACATGTAAATGTGTTCCAGGATTCGAAAGGATGCTGATCAGATCAACAAGAACTGGGAGAGAAGATTTCTCATCCTCAGGAACAGGTAGGGTGTACCCAGCGTAGATGTAGCTGTGCAGACAAATTCCATTTGGAGAAACACAGTAGAAAGAAACCTCTCGTGTTTGTCTCTATATATTAGTTAGCGTTAAATGACCTCACATACTTTTAATAAGAACTGCAACGTGGTCTAAAATAGAAAGTATTCAGAGTCACTTAAGAGAAAGAGGAATGCAGACTCCCGTTCTCTAGTTCACTGTTTCCATCCTGAATGTGATCCGACCTGCTGGGCGTCTTCCACCACAGCAGTGTGCCGGTAATCATGAAAGAGGGTCTGCATCACCTTCACAAATCGCCTCATATGCCAGGCCCTTTACCCAATTCCTTAATCTCTTGCCCACACTTTATTCTCACAGCCATTTAATTTTTTTCTCCCTGAATTATGTTTGCTTTGTTTTTTTTAAATGGTGAAAGTGGAACTGTGAGATTCTGGGCCACACATTGCAGCATACGTCTGTGATCCCAGCACTTGGAAGGATGGAGTGGGAGAATGACTAAGAATATGAGGCTAACCTTGGCTACATCATAAGTTCAGAGATGGCCTGGACTACTTAAGTAAAATACAGTCCAAGAAAACATGAACAGGAAAGGCTGGAAGGAAGGACAGGAGGAAAGAGTAAGGAGGGAGGAAGAAGAAGCTGCAACCCTGAATAACAGTAGCTAAAGCTTGTATTGAATATAAATGCTACGCTGAGAAAATGCTGGTTTTCTCCTTTGTCCTATGTCAGGTGAGCATTTAAAATGCATTTCCTGTCCACTTGTTTCCCCACTAATTTCACCCCACATTTTCTTAGTTATCACATACTGGAAGTGTTTTTGCAAGAAACTGAATAGTGAAGGGCAGTGATGAACTGATGAGCTTGCAGCTCACGTTTGACGTTAATACACTGCATTTGCTCCACAGGGCAATAATACACTCCATTAGCTCCACGTGTCATAAGCACATGATACCCATCGCGTATTAAAAAGCCTACACCCGATGCTGAAATAGTTAGGACTGGCTAGCAACCAAGATCACATGTGATGCCAGAAAGGATCCCAGAGAGGGAGCACAAGTCCCCTGCTTAGGGGAAAATGTCTCCTTTGAGCTCATGTTTGGTTTCTCATACCTGCTGGTAATGCTTATGCTCCATGAAGTGTGTCTTTTAATTTTGACTGTCTGATACAAGGTCTCACTCTAAAGCCCAGGCAGGTCTTGAACTCACAGCAGTCCTCCTGCCAGAACCCAGTGGTGGAAGAAGAGAAATGACTCCCGTTGTTGTCTTCTGGCTTCCACAAGCACTCTGTGGCGTGTGCGCATCCATACACACAAACACGGGGGCTGGCTAAAAAGCAAGAAATGATACCGTAATTGAAATATATGGGAAAATGGAGTGAGCAGTACATAGCTACCAGGTGTGAGGGGGGGAGAAGGGCACGCCTGCACACGGGCCTGCACGCTGCACACATTACAGAGAGGAAATGGGAAAGGAATGTTCATTTCTGATGTTGAGGAATATCCAGTCCACGATGGCCACTCTTTCGGCACCCAAATATGTATGTCTATCCTGCAAGAAAAATGCCATCCCAGGGCGTTTTAAGTCTTTCTCTCTTCACCCCACCCATCTCAGGGTCAGCTTAAGTCTAAACCCTTTCTAAGACTCGTATCTCAAAGTCTTAATTCTCTTGATCTAAATTCAGTATCAGTGAGGTTCTGGCTATAAATTCATTCATTATGGGCTCCCAAAGCTGTGGACAAGCCCATTTGCTCCCAAATTATAGTTGTCAATAATGCTTATAAATATTCATGTTCAAAAAGGGAGGATATGAGAAGCTATCTAAAAAGCCATTAGCTGTTTTTGCTTTTGTTGTTTTATTTTGTTTTGTTTCTGGTGCTGCCCCCATTTTGCTGTGATGTTTTTATTCACTTACAATCACTAGAAGAAAAAAAATGTCCAGCCATACTCCCAATTCATCTATCACTAGCAATGAATCTCCTCATTTTAACACCATCCACAACGGAGAGACGCTAAATATTCCCTAAAAGATAAGTTGTGGTTCTTATAACTTCTGATGCTTAATTTCTCCAATCTTAAGTCAGCGAGAGCCTTCTAAAGAAGAATAATGCACTGTTTTTACCTAATCTTTGATGAGTCCCTTGATTTTTAGTAGAATAATATATCTTAGAGTCCCCTTGCATATTTGGTAACTTAGATCTAGAAACAGCTATCTCAAAAATACCCTTATTCATTTCAGAACCTACAGTCTGCAGGGATCGCCATTGCTGTTACTTCTATACATTTTTAGAGCTAGGAAATAGTTTTCTTAGGGAAGAAGAAATAAGTTGAAATTAATATTTTTAATAATTTTACTTGGCAATACTTAAAATTTTTGTAATGTGATCCCTCCCTACATGGTAAGTGTTGGTCTTGTCCTATGATGTTCATACATTTTATTCTATTGCTTCTTTTGTTGCAGTTTTCACGTCCTAAAGGATGAGATGTTCACCAGACACACACTTTTCCGGCAGTTTGCAATGATGGCTGACACCTCCTTCAACTACGTTGTAAGTGTTTTGAATGCATGTGCCTGTGTCTACGAACGACATGTTTATTGAACTCATCACATTCTAGGCTGCAGTGATAACACACAACAGGCACTCTGCCGGCTACTGAGGGCATAGAACAAAGGGCAGGGCCCCAAAGAGCTCAGTGGGAAGTGCAGATGTGTAGATAAGGCTGTCACCCTGCAGCATGGCGCTCTGTCACCCTGCAGATGACGGTTGAGCTCCCATAGAAGTCAGTGCAGATTTCAGAGGGTGCGATACTCATTCTGCATAGGAGTGCCTGCCCATTTGTTCGTCTTTGACCTCAGATGCGATGCTTGGGAGTGTCAAACCTCAGGTTCAAGTCTCCAATCACTTCCGAAGGGAAGGAGTAAGCACCCACTCATTCATTCTCAGATTAGAAACTGTTGTGACCAGATTCACATCGCTATGACAAAATACCTAAGACCTCTAAAGCAAAGTGCTTCACTTAGCTCACAGGAGTCGCTTCAAAGTCCATATAACATCATATAAGCTGGTGGCAAGGGCTGCACCATGACAAGACAAACAGCAATAGCAGAAGAGTCTGTGGGACAGGGTGGTCACATCCTGAGCCAGGATGCAGAGAGAACGAGAGAATCCGGGCTTGCTCCACGAAGCCACCATCTGGTGAAAATTCAAGCGTTGTACAAGAGCAACCTTCTGAGAGCACACCCCAAAGTGACACAAGGACTCCCACGAGGCACCGCCGCTTGAAGGCTCCATCACGTATTAGTGCCGTGTTGGCTATCGAGTTTTCAATACATAAATCTGGTGGCACAATATTTCATATTCAGACCAAAGCATACCAGGCCTGTAGATCACGTTCAGCTCTGAAATAGATTATTACTTACCTTTTTTGACAAGAGAGTAGTGCTTTTGAAAGGGAAGGCTGGCCAGTCTAGAAGCAGATCTGGTAAATTCCAGCTGACACGACAGTTGGCATAATAGCAACTTTTTAAGCTTCTGCCGCCTGGCTGCTTTCTTGGATCAGTCAGGCTGTTTTGTTTTGTTTTGTTTTGTTTTGTTTTGTTTTGTTTTGTTTTGTTTTGTTGTTTTTAGAACAGAGCATAAGAAACAGACTGTAGGATATTACTTTAAGAGGCTTATGGTCGAAAATAATTTTCTTTCCAATTCTTTTCAACAATTTTTGTTTTTAGACCATTTTCTAGGTTTAAGTTCAGAAGTGTTGTAAAGTATCCTGTCAAGATGGTATTTTTAACTAGATCTATTTAGAAACCTGAGGCTTTTAAGAATTGTCTCCTGAGTCAGGTAGGAGTGGCGCATACCTTTAATCCCAGCACTCAGTAGGCAGAAGCAGGCAGATCTCTGTAAACTGGCGACCAGCCTGGTCTACAAAGTGAGTTCCAGTACAGCCAGGGCTACACAGAGAAACCCTATCTTGACAAACCAAAGAAAAAGAAAGAAAGAAAAAAGAAAGAAAGGAAGGAAGGAAGGAAGGAA